CATTTTGCTATGAACTTCAAGAAATTCCGTTTTTCTGCAAGGATTGTGTGGTATTTGATTGACCGTGACAGAAACCATTTGGAGAGTTTTCTTCACAACTCCAACAGTAGATTTGTGCAACATGCATGTTATCAACTTCGTGATTATGTTCAGGCGCGTGTTGCAGTTTCTGATCCCTTGTATGAGATGATCAAGAAGGAAGAGTTTGAACGCCAATACAATTCCAAGTTTTTGGAGGCGATTTCTTGCTCTCGTGTTGTAGTTGAGCCTGTAAGTTCAGGGACGTATGAGCCATCATCGAAGCTGAACTTAAAGGTACTACAAGACATCCTGAAGGGTATCTTCAAGATCCAGAAGGATGAGGAGCTTGCCAAGGAACGTGATGAAGAAGAAGAACAGGCAGCTCAAAACATCTCATACCTGTTGGCAGATGATATGGAGCTTGATTTTGATGATGATGATGTTCCAGTATGGCGCTCCATTGTCGACAAGTATAGAGGAGGTGATCAGGTGCTACAGGGAGAAGCTGTGAAGATTACTCACCTGTTCAGGGATCAAAAGGACAATGAGAAGGCGACAGAAACTTTCAGTTCAGAGAGGACAGATTTTTATGAGACCTCAGGACCTCTTCCAAGAACCAAAGGAGAAAATCTTGTAGAGGACTTGCTCACCAAGGATGTTACAGAAGAAGATCCTGCAGTCAAACCTGGAAAGGAACAAGAAATATTAAATAAAGATGCAGGTGTTTTTCCTTCAGAGGAATCAAAGATGGAAGTTGACCAGGAGGAAGCCAAGGAAGAGTCAACACCACACTTTCTGTCAAGAGAGAAAGGTGAGGACTCGACTGCATCGCACTTACCATCAGGTGAGATGGATGCTAACCTTGATGATACTTCAGGTCATCGAAAATCTAAGAAAAGCCGCCTGAATAAAATTCCTGATCTTCATTTTCATGAAGAAGTTCAGGATGATGCAACCATGGAAGAGAAGAAAGAGGCGGTGGAGAAAATAAAAGAGGTCAGAGAGGATGATGAAGAGAAGAAATTGGAGGCTGAAATCCAAGAATCTTTTCCATCTGAAGTAGTTGTTGAAAAGGATACAACAAAAGCTGACAATACCTATGAATTGCATACTTCACCTTTGAAGTTGCTTGGAGAGCTTACAGGAGATCCAGGTATTGGCTTTTATCAACTACGCTTCAGGGAAACTCATGCAAGATTGCTGAATCATGTTTGTTTCAGAAAAGGTGAGATTTCCCATCCTCATTATCAGTCAAGGATCAACGAGAATGATTTTGTTCGATCCATTCAAAATGTCTGTCCAGTACCTCCACCTATTTGTTATGAACATGAACGAGGGCATGATTTGAAGAGATTCTTCATCAATGATGACCGCATCATTTATTTGGATGGCAGGTATCAGGTCGATCCAAGGGCCCTTGAAAGGGCAGGTCATGCTCGAGAAGAATTGGAGGATACGAAAAAGGAACTCAAGAAGGAACTGGAATCATATGGTCCCAAGGGACCCAGTTGGGACTTTGTCACCTTCTATGAAGAGCTGTGCAGAAGGTTCCTCAAGGGAAGAATAGAAGAACCATATGGAACAAATTTATTGGCCAGCTCAGAGTCCTTGACATTTTTATCCTGGAACTATGGCAACATGGTTCGTGGTCAGAAGTACACCACACCAAGGTTTCTCCAAGGACTTGATAGTGCAATGAGGCCACGCAAACAGAGCGCCATGTCACTTCAGAATGAGCAATTTGAGAACAACCTTTTCTTCAACATGCTCTTCTTTTTACGTGCACATGTCGTGATTCTCCAGGAAGCTCATCTTCTTGTTCCTGCCAAGGAATTTATTGAGCAAAAGAATTGGACAGTTTGTTTCAATGATTGGGAGAATCTTGCAGTGATGGCTAGATTGGCACCAGGTGGATATGTCAAGATCATTGCTGGACATGATCAAGAACTTGGTCACTGTGAACAGCGTGATGTAACTTGGGCTATCTATGAGATTTGTTTTGGAGAAACAAGGCCTCGTCAAGATTTCAAGGATGCAGACTTTGAATTTGATGACTATGGTCCTGAGGACAAGCGTGTTCCACTTACTCGAGCGAACATGCATACCATCAGAGTCTGTAATTATCATGTTGATACACACCGTGCTGTGGATGCCCACCTACTGACAGGAGAACAAACAGCATTGATGCTTTACGAGTGTTTTGTCTATGAGGTGGACACCATTTCTGGTGATGCAAATAGTTTGGCCTACAGAATGTCTGGGTACAAAAGGCAGCCAATGGCTAACTACTATTACAGCACCATGCAGCATTGGATCCGCAGGTTTTCAGAAGCTCGTGTACAAGCAGATCCTGGTATCAAGGCACCTATTCCCAGAACTTTTTACAGTTCAACTTCACAGGTCCTCAAGAAGTGTGAAGATTACTTTGACAAACTCTGGGAAGAATACTCTACTGTTGAAAAGGAAGAATACCAAGGATCAAGGCTTGGCGATACATGTTTGTCTACCATTGTTGAATGGGGTCATTCAATGAGTGAAGAGGAATATGAAAATTCCACAGTGAGCACGAAGGAGTTCATCTGTAATTTTTCAGAGAACTTTGCTATGATTGACACAGAGGTTATGTGCTCAAGGCCCACTGACGAGGATAGTCATGGTCCAATGTTTATTTCACTCAGACCAGCTTCCCTTTCATCTGGAGACAGAAGACAGTATCGCACAGCAGCAACGCTTCAAGAAGCGAACGTGCGGAGGAAGGAGAGACAAAAGCAGAATAGAAAGAAAGGAAGGCCGCCAACTTCTGATCAAGCTACTTCATCGTTTGCAGCGGCATAATTCCTGAGCGAAGGCTGAAATCTAAATGATGGCTAGGAAGTGAAGATACTTCTGATTACAGTTGATACTTTGCTTCCAGGCTTGAATTTAAGTTGCCATGCTGAAGTTTTAATAAATTCTGGTTTGCAATAAGGAGAAACTTTTTATCAAAGAAGATACTCCTGCATTCCAGGTTTATATGCTTTAGCATGTAGATAGGTATGGACAGTTTTACATAACTGATGATATCTATCACAGTCGCTCTTATGAAGTGACCTCTAATGGACAACCAGTCATGGTTGATGATTAAGTCATTTCATGATTTGCAATTGTAGTGCAAAAAATTTTTTGTACATACATTTGCCGGTATCTCCTTCTTGTGTTTTTGATGTGAATGTGAAAGAGAGTCCTTTTGATGCAGTTTATTTTGTCTGTGAATGAAAGCGGTCGAGACCACGTCACGAGAAGATTATTCCTCGAACCGTACGCTCCTTGCATTTTGCAAGGCATCTTAATTCATTGCATTGTGCGGTCTTGAATTTTTAGTTCCTTGTTACGCGAGTGTCGTTTAATTCTTTTATAGGTCTCTGTGTAAGAAGCCGCTTTCCCTTTTAGTTTGTTTTAGCTCAGGCCCTAAAGAGCTAGTGAGCGCCGGTACATGGTATCTTCGCCAGCGAAAAGTACAGTCTCCAGCCGAGGTACATTATCGTTTTGATTTTGTACTTGAGGTGAGTCAGCTATTGCTCCCTCACTGTATTTAGTAGCTATGAGATTACCTTCTCTGAAGTGTGAAACACACCGGATTAGGTAAGTACATGGCACCGTAGTTTTCTTTTAAGTTGTCAGAGCTAGCTGGACTGTTTTAGCCTTGCAGTAGAAAAAGAGTATGCGACATACGCAATCAGCTAGAAGTGGACATGAATCTTGTGCCTGCTGAAAAGTAGAGCCTACCTGTACAGGGTTCCACTCCAACAGCTGATATAGTGTGTCCATGCTTGACTGCTTCAAGGCTCAAGAGAGGGTCAATGGACCTAAGGATAAGACTCTGCGAGAGCAAAAGACACTAGCGGTCTGCACCTCTACCGTGTACGCCCTAGTCACTCTTTCACCCCCCACCCCCCCACCCAACCCGCTCATTGGTTTGCACGGCAGAAGTGTGCTTTGAAAGGCCATCAAAACGTGTGTGTGTGTGAAGATGTTGACCTTGTCCAATCTGGCAACCCTTTCAGCACTTCAGAGTCGCACTGTCTGGTTGCTAACTGCAACCCACCCCACCCCATCCTTCATCCTTAAACCCTCCCCATCTGTGTCTGTGTGTGTGTTCTAAAGTGAACCAAAAAATCAGGTGCGTTGTGTTCCAAAGTGATCTCGCTTTTTGCTAACCCTTCCATGTTTTTGTGTGTTTTGTGTTCCAAAGTGACCCATGTTTTGTGTTCCAAAGCGAACTAAAACCCTGTGTTCCAAAGTGAACTAAAACTTGTGTTCTGAAGTGACCCCACATAACCTATATATGCGCTCAACACCTCTCCAACCAGCAACAACAGTTTATATATATTATTTATATTATATAGTTGGTCAGCCCTGCAGCCGGAACAGCTTATGCAATGCAGCAAGGAGTCATCAGTGCTTTGCTGACTGATCGGTGTGCAAATCTGACCCCGGATGCAGTGGTCGAAGCAACCAAGTCCATGCCATACATCATCATAAATCCATGCCAATTCTTTGCTAGGTTCTTTCCTATCTGATTATTTATGTGGCCTTCCTCGATGCAAAATGATTCCGTCAAAAAAAACAGAACCTGATAAGCATCACTACCTCCATACTATACTAAGCCCTACTCTTGTAATATAATATAAGTAGTCAAGTTTCCCTAACAATTTAGGAACCAAATCGTTCGTGCGAGCGCTTCTTCAAGGAAGCTTCCCCCACTGCCTTTTGGGCGGCCGGGTGACTTCGTTGAAGAAGCGTGAGCTATCCTGCGTCCTAAGTAGTAGCTACTTAAGCTACTAGCTACCGCTACCTCTAGCTACTACCTCTACTATCGGCCTATCCCCCGCTGGCTTTAAGACAACATATAATATATACACATATTATATATATATGTATATTTATGACTTTAAAAGGGAAGGTTCTCCGGACTTCCCCGCGCTGGGTAGATCCGCCAGGTCATCCACTCCATCCGCTCCATCCGTTGACGCCACGGGAGGGACCGCGAGACTCACGCATCTCGGAGGTGAAGTGGAAAGGAGCGAAGCGGAGCCGTGGAAAGGAGGGAAGATGAATGAAGATGAATGAAGATGAGGGTGAAGGATATATTAAAGAAGGGAATTGGCATGATTCTCTTCCAAACACAGGGGTCGGAACATGTCGGAACCCGACTTTTTTCGGGAAGTGAGTGGTTTCTATTTGATTTGCGACGGAGCAAATGAGCCCTGCCTTGGCCAACTGTGCCCACAGGCGGTCTGTACTTTGACACGAAACCGGGAATGGCCGATGGCTGTGATTGTGCTGTGCTTTTGGACCGAGAGAGCAACAAACACATGCATAGACTGCATAGTATACTGCATATATACAATATAGATAGGTGGCTTGTTGGTACGTCCGTGTCCTGACAGGAAGTTAAGATTCTAAACGCAACTGCAACGATTCGAGGTGGCCGTGCCAAGCTCCAGAGCCCAAGGCACGGACTGGGGTGCTCCATGTTGCGTCCAAACAACCAGTACCAGCGGTAAACATATTATATAAGCAGCATTACCAAGCTTCAGCTCATATATCGGGACAGCATTTCGGAGACCCAGAGATATCATCCGGAAGTGGTGGTTAAGGTCTATTTGGGTTCCGACTCTTTTAAGCTCTTGATGAGCGTGCTGTTCATCCGCAATGCTCCACCATGTCCATGTTTTTGATGACACGGATTTTCACAACCGTGGAGGCGTTCATCATTTTTGTTGTTTCTTGTACATGTACATGTATACGACGAGTATACGACATGTCTAAGTAGTTGGGGTGGGGTGGGGTGGGGCATGTTAACGTTCCTTTGCACTTGTGTGGGATGTTGATGCTAT